TGACTTGCAGAAGGTGCACAGATGTTGTCGTCCTAATGAACAGGTTGGCTGCTCGGGGAGGGTAAGTGACCTCGCCCATATGTCCAAATGGAAAACGCCGTTGAGAAAGCAGTCAAATGCAATTTGTCTGCTGCCGTGATTATGTTCTGCGGCGAGCAAGCCATCTGATGACACATTAACACCTCGGCTGTTTCAGGGGTAAAGACATTATCTGAGGAAGGAGGATCAACACATCTGCCAGATATTTCATCTGTTAAAAGTCACTAGATGCACAAACCCGGTTGTACCTGGTGAAGCAACAACATAGAAACTATATGAACTACATGTATTACATTGAGTACATTTGCTGTCCATACTTTTTTTTTTTGTTAGAACAGTGGTTGCAACTGATTGCAAAGTAAAGGTCAATAATATGTGGCAAATTTCTCAAACTAGTTGCCAACGGCAACCTTTATTATGAAGCCCTGATTTCCCTCAGTTAGAAACCAGTCTAAGCAACAACAAAAAAAACAACTGACAGTGGACAGATGAATGGATGGGGGTGTCTCTGGTGAGCATGTTAGCGCAGTGCTAATCTAATTCAACAAAAAACAATCATATTGTCTTTGTCACTTTGAGTTCACTGACAACCCGTCATGTCTTATTGGAGCTTGAAGTCACAAGAGAGTCGCTGTGAAGAAACTAGGCTTCTCCTGCGAACTGCATCGTGAGGTTCAGCTTCTTGAAGTCACCCAGGATTCGCCACTAATCTGTGTCTCTTGGTTCATGAGGCTGTTAGAGGGTGACCGCGGCACACGTACCCACGGTAAACACCTCATTATCCTACAGAGCCGCACCCAACCGCATCGAACGCCTCTTAATGAGCAGTCAAGAGAGGACTGGGGGGAAACGGATGCTCAACTTCCAATGGTTCTGACTGAACAATTAGTGTCAAATTGCCTCTCATCCTCAATGTGCTGTATCAATAATACATTCCATTACAGAAAGCTCTTTGTCACCTTGAGAATGCCCTTTGTTGTCTCCATCCGACGCAACTGGAAAGGGTTCAGATTTCCCTTCAAATAAAAATAAAAAAACATCCACTTTACGTACTGAAATCTAGCAAAATAGTTCAGTCGGTTTTCCCCTAATTGCCTTTCCCAGCATAACAAAGTCTAGTTTGTGTTACAACGCTGTGGATGGTAATAAATATGTCCAGGGCGTTGCTTTATCGCCAAACATGTCGTTAGCTTTTAAAACGCGACTACGGGAAACAAGAGGTTATGACAACACTGCTCAAGATGAATGCTGTAAATCTGCACCGTATCCACAGCGACTCGGCGTGAGGTCGGTGCATAAATCACGCGGGCGGCTTAATAACACAGAGCTCATTGTGTTGCATTAGCGCGCGTTCAGGCCGCGTTATGCCAACTGTCCAATGCGCTGCTCATTGTTAATCACCGATCAGCTCACAGCTCCTTTTTCTTTTGACAGCGATCCAATAAATCAAGCAGGTTTATCTGGACCAGGAGTTCGGCGCCATTTAAAGCGTTCCGACATAATTTCACCGAATTTGTGATCCATTGACACAGTGCATGAATCAAAAAATGATCCACGGTGCCTTTGTCAAATGAAATGCACCGCCTGCGCAGCCTATTATTTTAGATTTGCAAGATTATATTCTTAAGGTTATCCAATTACCTGAGCGTAATGTTATGTTACAGGAGTTATTATAATTCTTTTCATGTCAGCCAGTTCAGAGGAGAATTCTAAACCAACTAAAAGCTGAATCATCTTCAGACGATAGCCAGTGAGTTTTAATATTACAGCCAATACATTACAACTCTTTTCTTCACACAGGCTGTTTTCAGAGAATATTTTTATATGCTGGCGGTCCCTTATCTGAGACTTCATAGTCAGTCACCTGTACTCACTGGAAAATTGAATATGGAAGTTTAAAAAGAAAAAAAAGAAATTATGCAAAGCAAAAATTGTCTTGATGGATTTGGATATTATTTAAAGCAGTTCAAAGCTGATTCTCCTCACAATTAAATTATACTCAAACAATCAATTCTGAAAAGTAATTTCCAAACGGAATGACTTTGAAAATCAAATAACAATTCGGATGCGGTTCCCCTCACACAATACATGCCAGTTTAAAACACCCCCTATTCGACCAGAGCAGACTGAGTGTTTCAAAGGTTCTGAAAAGGAAACCCTGCCATGCAAGTCTCATCCTACCATGACAGGGAAAAGCAGGCACAATCAGAACCACCTTCACAATGTCTCGTCTCCGGCTCGACAATTCACGACACTGGAGATCCAATCACACGGGATCCTCTTTTAATGAATACCAAATGAGCACAAATAGGTTTGTGATCAGAGAAAGTCTGTAGTTTGGCTTCTGCCTCGATACGCGATACAATGCATCGCCCGATTCTCCTCCCACGCTGTCGGCTTTCCCACGTAGGTCTATGATCGCTGCTCAATGAACATTAATACATAGAGAAGGGGGCATGTAGGAGAGTAAATCTAATTCTTACAAAGGGAACAAAATCCAATTATCTCCTGCTGCGGCCACTATCACGTGCAGGATCTTGAACTCACGCAGCCCAGGTAGTCGTCTGGGGACACGGAAACCTCTCCGCATGGATGCCCGGGGTAATTCCCCCAACAACGGGAGCCCGCGTGTCCACGTTACTACCTCAGTGCTTTCAATTTATTTAAGTCGTCTGATGTCCATTAAGAGGGAAGCTGAGTATTGGCTCAGTCTGGCACAACCTTCACCTCCCCGGGGAGCAACGTGGCGTCTGGCCTCGTCTGGTCTCTCCGATTGACGCCGCTTGATCACTCAGTGAGCAGGCGGAGGGAGGAAAAAAAAAAAAACGAAGTTTATGAATGGCGGCAGCGTAGGTTACCGCGGCAACATCGGCGCAGGCCAAAAGAAACGGTGGTTGTGGTGTGTAGGATTCTTTGAATATTATCGTGTCCCTTCGCACCCACAGAGACGGGTGGAAAATGGGAAAGCGGCAGCTGGGATTTTGGTCACATCAATTAATATTCATGTTCTACATAATCCCAGGTGATTCATTTAACACACCTGATCAAATCAATAATTTATAGGGAGATAAAAGGAAAAGAAGCCAGGAAAAAAAGAATCTGATCTCTGGCTCACCTGCTGTAGCACCATTTAAAACACGACTAGATGTAAAGGTACACAATTGTCATTTATCAAAATAAATGTTTATACAAGACTGGCCCATTGTCGTCCATATTGGGTTCTGATACTTGAGTCGGTAACAAACTTTGAACATGTGAACATCATGACAACAGCTGCACTCTTGTTTGATTTGTACCAGCAATCGCGTGAGGACACAACAGTTAAAAATTAAGAATCAATAAATAAATGCTGTAATTTATCTGATTTTAAAAGAATTTTATGGTTTGCTATGATCAGGTTTTTGCTTGTTTAAAGTCACATTTTTATCATCACTGTGAAAAATAATTGCTTCGTAATTATTTGAAACTATGAGGTGCAAATAAAAGGCTTTCAGCATCTGAACGTTAGTACAGCTTCCTGTTTAGATCAGTGGAATCAGCATTCACTGAAGGCCGGCTGAGCAAAATCAGCACCTCTCCACATTAAATATGAACTGAATCAATGCAGACATCTTTTTAGCGTGTGTGTGTGTGTGTGTGTGGATGGTGACTCCATCACAACATCCTCACAGTGAAAACCTTCCATCCCAAATGTCAGTCCCACCGGAACGACTGCGAGAAAATAAGCCAGGTTTCTCAGTCTGACACAGAGGTCAGAGGGTTAATAAGCCCGAGGAGCTGTCTATTAGTTTTCAACTGACATCATGTAATCCTTCATAGAAGTAGGAGGTTTAAATACGACCAAAGTACTACATCAACCTCGGGTGAAAAATGCTGAAAAGGGGAAAAGGAGTCACGGTATCAGGTAGCCCATCAATCTTAACGCAGACCGCCGGAGTAATTCTACCACAAGGCATCGAAGAAGACTTCACAGACGCCGCGATGTTTCCGCCCGAGTCTCTCGATCCGGTTGTGCGTCCTGTGACACCCGAGCGCGTCGTCCCGATGAAGGTCAGCATGGGTCACGCGACGCAAATATCCGAAACCTCCACCAATGTGACAAACTCTTTCGGACCATTTTCCTGTTGACAATTTGGAATCTAAGCGTTCAATTTCTGATAAACGTGGAACACAGGGTACCTGCGTACAGGCTCTGAAGTGAAGGCGAACCTGTAAGTGCTCATCAAAAGGTAAACCAATAGCTTGGGTTTGGCTTATCGACCTCTGATGCATCCACCTACCCAGAAACCCCTTTCAACATCAAAGCCTCCGAAGCACGTTGAAAGAGTCTCGGTCCGCTCCGTCACCACGGCGCAGCGCGCGCCTGGAGATCTGGTACGGTAACGAGGGTCACTCATTCACTCACCCGTTTCTGGTCCTCCAAGCCGTGCTGCACGGGCTTCCTCCTCGGGTGCTGCTGGGGACTCGCCTCTGCTCCTGCCTCCATCTTTCCATAAGTCAGCGAGTGCTCAGGCTCTCCCCTTCGGCTAAGTAGCTGAAGTGTTCAAGTCCCTTTCCCATGAGTTTCAAACCCCCAGCCAAATTTTTTTTTAAATAGAATAGGAAAAAACTGTCTGTTCATCAACTCTGCTTCTTTGAAAAGGTGACACCCAATCGATGGGAGGATCCGGCCTGGGCCAGGCGCCTCGTCTCAGTCATATCGCCTCTTGGTGGTCTCTCTCTCTCTCTCTTGGTCCCGAGGGGCCGACCCTGAAACGAGCGTCAGGGCAGAAGACGGGGACCGAAGATGACCTGGATGGTCCTCTCTCTCAAAACCATCATCGCTGCCGTGGAGATTTCATGTTAGAGAAGGAATCCTGAGCCTCTCGACCGCCTGAGATTTAATCTAAACATGTAAGCACGTCTCAGTTTCTATTTGGAGGAAAGCTTTCCAGCAGGAGCCTGCAAAAATATTTTTTTTTAAAAGAATGTCCAGAGAAAGTAGGTGTCCAGAAGCTGGTGTCACTCACAGTTCAGAGGTCAAGTGCGGTATCCCGACAGTGATCAGAGCTTGGGGTCAAGAGAGGAGACAGAGTTAAAAGTTAGAATTAATTCAAAGTGCTGTGGTGTCAAAAAGACACATGTTCAGTATCATACAGACATAAATGCACCCAGATTCACATCAGACAAGCTGTATCTTAATTATTTCCCGGTTGCCTCCTGAATTGCGATGTATTCTCAATGTTTAGAGTCCCTTGTATTGCATCCAGGACATCGACCATTCGTGGGAGTAAACGACGAGTTATGACGAGTTTACCGTCATCTATCGTTAATTACTGCAGGGGGGAGCTTTTACCACCAAGATCAAAAAACACTTATTTATACATAAACACGTAACTTTTTAAGTGTGCTGATAAACTTGCATTAGTGGCCGCGCCCTTCGTGGTAATTTGAGAAAACGCGTTGGCGACAAAACAAGCATTAAGTCAAGAGTTGGGGGGAGCCGCCTGGAACAAACCGCCTGCCGAGGGTTTGAGCCGCCGCAGCATCACCAACAGCCGAATCCAGCGCGCCCTCCTCGGCTTGGAAGACAGACCGGCTCACGGAGAAACTGTTTGCCCTCCATTTAGGAACATTCAATACAGCGCGGGGGGGAATGGAGGCTACAGGCGCGGCGGCGGTGGTCAGAACGGACGCTCGCGCAGCACTTCGCCGGTTCTTACCTCTCCGGTGGGGATGTTCCTGCCTCGTGCGTGCCGCTGTCCGCTCATCTCTGCGCTGGGAGCGGAGCGGCCAGGTGCTGCGTTCGCGTGCTGTGGGAGATATCGCGATATCGCTAGTCACTTCGCGTTTGAAAACGTTTTGGACATTTTTCGTTTCGTGGGATTTTAAGTAGGTCTGTTGTCCTGAGTGTCTTTAGGTTGGCGGGTTATTTTCCGACGGACCTCTCGGGCAAAAGTTATAATTAACCAACATACATATTCCTTGGCTGAAGCGTCTACCATAGTTGTTCATTGATCATTCACTGTATTTCATGCCGAGTCCGTTTCTTTTTTAACCCAAGTACTTTTGAATTAATTTACCCCAATTGGAGCAGGTGGTCTAATTTACTAGGATAACTTGAAGGCAGCACCAGGGTCCCACTCGCTCTCCCTCTCTCTAGCAACCGTGACATTACGTCACCGGATGCTTCAAGCTCCGCAGTTCTCTCCCAGCATCCTTGAAGTCGCCCGCGGGTTTCCATGGCGACTCCCGTTGAGCAGCCCTCTACCGCCACCTAGCGCCGAAACGGAGACGCGTCAGCTGCATCCTGAGCTGGAGTCAGACACTATGACAAATCCATTAAATTAATCTATCAGATAACTGCGGCCGCAGCGATGACTACCGTGTCATTATGAATATCCATTTGACAATGTAATCACGTTGCGCTTCAACAGGCATAGATTAATTCTTAGAAATAATTATTCACTTAATTAGACTCTTTTTCTGAAAGACATGGTCTGATTTGATTAGGTGTTTAATGGGAAACATTCATTAACTGCACAAACAGCGCGGTGGTGGTATTAAAATACAGCAGCAGTTAAATTATTCTTCAAGCATGTAATGCCACAGATGGGCTGGTTCCGTCTGCTTCAATGTAACGTGTTGTTTTTGTTTTTGTTTACAAAACGTTCAAAACAGACTAGAAGTGGACGTCGTCGTCGTGGTGGTGTCACCCCTTGGTTTGCGGACTACAGTTTTGAAGTCACCCCTCCATTTCCTCTAATAAAACACGATCGGGCAAATACTTGCTGGTGATACATATGCATAATATACATTTTATTGGCAATCCTTGGAATGGAAGTTGTCTCCGCTCAACACGTGAGTTTCAATGGAAGTTCTAAAGGCAGGTCATAATAAAAAAGTGTTGGAATGAACGGTACAGTTAATACGTAAATCAAGACAAATGAACAAGAAAATAAATAATCAACGGTGTAGTCATTTTCACCAGCAGGCAGTGTGGAGTGATTCGCGAAATGGGGAAATTGTCACAAAATATGGAGTCAAATTATCAAACAATCTCCAGAGTATACAAACCACATCCAATGAAACGTACCCTTCTCACGGCACGCCAAGGTCACTCAAACCAAATAACAAAAAATACAGGCAAGTTGGATTCTCGACACGACTCGTCAAAACCAGCGTGAGGAGGTGACTTCAAGAGCCAAGAGGCATGTCACATTCATTTAATAATTCAGTCAATACATCTGTATGTCTTAGATTCATTGTCAATGAATGTAACTAAATCAATGAATGACATCGTATGTAATGAATAACTTTCAAAACTGTTGACTCAGACTGTGCAGATTTGCTTTTAGGGACACCTTGAGTTTGTCAATTATTAATATTTTGTGGACTTTTTTTTTTATAACTACGGACCATTTCTATTTAAATCTAATGTGAAATTAAGAGATACATTCTACATCTGATGGTCTTAACTCTCTTAGTGACACGTTGATGTGATATCCTAAATTATTTTTGGACCATATCCTCTTACACCTAAAATTAGAGGGTATTTGGCTTCATTAATGTGAATTGATAAAAACTCTGAGATTTTGAAATCCTACATCAGAATGTCCTTATTTGGTCTTATGTGGCCTTATAACCTGGTGTACAAATGTCGTGATGTTCTCTGAGGTAGTCTGCTATCAATCCAAAGTGCAACTGGTCACTTTGGGTAACTTTGTAGTTTCTGAATTTGTTGTATGTTTAGGGCATATGTACATGTATATCTGTATTTATATTATTGAGTAAGTATTCACATAGTAGGAAATTTACACCTAACAAGGGAAAAACAGCAGGTGGGTACTCAAGTCTTTGTTTAAAAGTAAAACAAACAATAATACATTAATATACAAAAAGCAGCCTTTATAAAAAAAACGTTTTAATAAAATATACAAGTAACCGTAAATAATCTACCTTTGTAGCCCAGAACACAGTTGTAAAAACATCTCCGTTCTGCTTAAGCACACCTTCATTCCTGGTCCCTCAAACATAAATCAATGAAGAATTATCTCACAAAAGTTTCATTCAATGCTATATAGACTCCAAAGAATATATAATGAGCCTACACCAAATCAGTCTCCAAACAAGGCCGGCAATCGGCTGGCCTCCCATTTGGGTTTGAGTTCAGTCTAAATGTTTAATCCAGCCATGCTCCTGACAAGATTATCACACCGAATGGATGAGAGATCTCCAAACAGATTGCCTGTTTTTTTTATACACACTTGATATAGGAATATTATAATTGTAGCCTCACATGAATGAAAACAACCCGTATCATTTGTATCAAACACCGGCCCTGGAGACGTGCGGTCGACGTGTCGTCTGGCCCCGCCCCTCTGCCACAGGAAGGAAGCGCGCGGGGCGGGGCGAACGCTAGGAGGTCACTCAAACGTTTCACATCTGTAGTAAAGTTGACCGAGAGTCCACTCCTCACTAGCAAGGGAAAAGATATTAACAGTTAGTCACTATTATCGCTTTTGGGATTCTTTTTTTTTTTTTGCTTGGGAACGTGTGTTTTTGTATTAAAATCTGCACTTCAGCGCGCGGGGTAATCTTCGGTAAATAACGTTGCCGGCTAACTTTATCCACAACATGAAGACGGCACAATTCCTTTGAGCAAAGACGTGTTTCGCGAATTTGGGTAAGTCTGCACTCAACTCCTCGTGTTATAATTTTATTCGTATTCATTCTAAAAGGGATCAAGCCATTACGTTTAACTTAAGCGGTGTTGCGGGGGTCGCTGAATTGCCGCCTTCTGTTTATCAAGCGAGCCACTTTCCGGCCACGTAACGTAAGTTAAGTTCGCTTCCTCGGTGAGTTTTAAAGCCAAATCCGTTGTCGTGAAGCTCCTCGATTATCCGGTTTTACCAGATTTATCAACGTTAAACTCCAGACGGCGGGCGCCTGCTGCGGGCTACGCGACACAAACCGCGTCTTTTAGCGGGTGAAGCCGAACGCTCCTCGAACGAGTCACCGCGTAAATGCAACGCTCTCGTCGTAGCGACGAGCCGGACTTCGGCCACAAGCTTATCTCGATTTTTTAAAGGGAAGTTAGCTGTAAAACAAGTTCCGCGCCAAGGATTTCAAAAAACTGTTTACCTGCGCGGGACGGACTTTCCACTTCCGGTACGCCGCCTCGCACGGCGCTCCCATTGGCTGCTCGCATCTGAAAAAGGGCGGGACCGCCGCGTCCGTTGCGCCCGGCGATTCGATGGAATGCACGTCAGTTACCGCCAATATTAATCTCGTGTTTTGATTAGACTTTCACATGATTTGTGATTTTATTTTTAAAAAAGACGCGCGGGGGGGAATATCATTAAACATCGTACGTGCGTCGTTTAGCTGATTTTTTTCTAACGATGATAAATAAAGAAGCGCTATCTAATATGTTGAGAAAATAATAAGCTAACGTTACGTTTAATAGCTAATAAAGGCTTTAGTTTCAAGTTAACGTTATATTACGTGCAGGCTAGATTCCGTTCCGGAAAAATAGTGGAATACATTAATCAGTTACTGCAAACATTTTTACTATTATTTATTAGTAGTTAATATTTAATGAATAGTTATCTCAATCCATAAAATATGCTTATGCTGAAGTGGAAAGGTATTTCATCAAATATTCCCCTCAGCCAGTTAGGAGTAAATGGGCTTGTACATCCAAATACAGCATATTTTCCATTTTTTTCCGATTAGGATGGTGGCTTTGTTGTAACCCAGGCTCCACTAAATACTCCAAAGAAGTCATCTGTGTGAGCGGTGTCACCATGGGTCCCCTCACTACGCCCAAGAAAGGAAGAGAAGCAGGTTCCGTTGACCCCTGGACGCCGACCTCCAACCTCAAAATGCTCATCAGCGCTGCTAGTCCGGACATCAGGAACCGAGAGAAGGAGCTGTGCATGGACCATGACGGGCGGGACAGTCTCGACGCTTCACAGGTACAGAAAGAGGGGGGTGAAAAATCATTAACAAAAAGATCGATGCTAACTCTGAAGTCACGGTGTTCCTGGTGACCCATTTGTTATCTGTTCTCTCTTGGCAGGAAACTGAAAATGGAGAAGAGTCCGAGAAAATGATCAGCAGGAAGGAGAAGAGTCTGGGTTTGCTCTGTCACAAGTTCCTCGCCCGCTACCCAGATCACCCAGATCCTGCCCTCAGCAACGACATCTGCCTGGACGACGTGGCCACCGAGCTCAGTAGGTTTTCTTCATGGTTATTACTGGTTTTAGAACACTAAGTAATAAGATTAGATTAAGAATTAGATATTGCTAAATCTTTAGTTTAATGATTCAACGTGGGACCAAGCAAAATAAATCACTCCTCTGACAGTTCAGACCTAATTATTCTGCCTCCCGTCTGCACAGGCGTGGAACGGCGGCGCATCTACGACATCATGAACGTGCTGGAGAGTCTGCACATGGTGAGCCGCTCGGCCAAGAACCGCTACACCTGGCACGGCCGCACCAAGCTGGCCCAGACGCTGGCCATCCTGAAGCAGGTGGGCGAGGAGCAGAGGTACGGCCAGCAGATGCTGCACATCCGCCAGCGTCTCCTGAACAGGGAGTTCGACTTTGACATGGAGGAGAAGGAGAACGAGGAGGTGGTGGAGCTGGAGGGCGCGGAGCAGGGACAGAAGGAGCTCTTCTTCGTGGAGCTTCCCGGATTGGAGTTCAAAGCAGGTGAGAAGCTCGTGGGTTCGTATTTTTAGCACCGATTGTTTTTACACACAGTCAATGTCCTCGACATTCAGACATCAGTGTTTGTGATCTGACACGTTTCCCCCTTTCCGCTTCTCCCGTCCAGCGTCCGTTAACAGTCGGAAGGACAAATCTCTGAGGGTGATGAGCCAGAAGTTCGTCATGCTCTTCCTGGTGTCTGATCCCCGCGTGGTCAGTCTGGACGTGGCCGCCAAGATCCTGATCGGAGAGGAACAGGGCGCCGATCGAGACAAGAACAAGTTCAAGAGTGAGTACTCGCCCTGATGGAGACAGACGTTTCTTTTTCAGTGCTCACCGGTTCAAATGGAACCGGATGGTTGTGCGTTGCTGGAGGCTGATGATTTAGTTTTGTGTGTTCTGCAGCCAAAGTGCGCCGGCTGTACGACATTGCTAATGTGCTGCGCAGCCTGAAGCTCATCGAGAAGGTCCACGTGACAGAAATGAGGGGGAGGAAACCGGCCTTCGAGTGGGTCGGCCCCGAAGAATTCCCACAAGTTGAAGGTATCGTAGATCTTGGATTTTATTCTCGTTCTTTTGTGCAGACTGCTGTGTGAGTCGAATGTATAATTCAGGACATTATCGATCTTTTAAATGGGCGCCTCCCTACATTTCCCACGTGTGTCAGGCTTGGCGAGCTCCACGTCCCAAGTCACCGGCACCAAGAAAACCCTCCTGGACTCCCGCGCGTCCGTAGACAACTGTGCCAAGAAGCTCTTTTCGTCGCCTGGGACCAAACGCGGCTTCACCCGGCACCCCTCCCTCATCAAGCTGGCCAAGAGCATCCAGGACGACCGCCGCAAGATCAACTCGGCCCCCACCAGCCCCGTCCGGAGCGTCCTCGGTGAGCGGCCGCGGCTCCCCGGGCGTCTTGCGCATGCCGTGTCCTTTATGAACCGCGCGTTGACGTCGTCTTCTTCTCCCCTCGTTTCGTCGTCAGGCGATTCCTCCAACACTTCCTGCCTGAACAAAATGGCCCAACTCGCTGCTATTTGTAAGATCGAGCTCGACCAGAAGTCTCCGTAAGTTTGGATCCGTTCAACCTAAACTCCTTTTTTTTTTTTTAATAATCTGTGCGAGACAGCGAAAACACGTTTTCAAGGCTTTGTACGTTTGCTGTGGCTACAACAAAAATAATAACCCATGCAGACGGGCGCTGATTAAACTTGTTTATTGGTTCAGCTCCCGTGTTTTTATATTAAGGCCTCCGGGTTGTTGAACGGGACTCCTGCTTCTGTTCCAGGGCCGCTGCTGAGGCTTCAGAGCCGCCTGCTGCTGCTGCTGAGACCGACTCCGCCGCTACGAGTCGAGCGCCGACCCCCTCTGTTTCGGCGAAACCGCCTCGGGCCCCGTTACTCACTCCGCCCCCCGAGACGAGGGTCAACGCCGCCGTCCACCTGGCCCCCCAGCCGCCGGCGCCCGTGGCCGCGGGCCCCGTCGCCTACATCCCCGCCCACTGTTCCCCTCTGATCCCGGTCCTGCTGCAGCAGCAGCCGGGGGGCGTGCCCTATGCCGTGTATCTGCAATCGCCGTCCCCGAGGCCGAACCCCCTGGTCAGGCCGCAGCCGACCAGCCTCGCCGTGCGCTCCATGACCTTCGAGGACAAGGCCGGCGGGCAGAGCCCCACGGGCCAGTGCGCGGCCTTCAGGGCGTCGGACGTCAGCCCCCTGGTGCTCAAGCGGTTGCTTTTAGACTCGGGCTTAGAGAGCAGCCCCCCAAAAGCCAAGAGGAAAGACCCGAGCTGTAAGGTAAACGGCAGATCTAAAATCTTATATCTAATATTTTATAAATAAAAGCATCAGCTGTTCCGTTGCTCTAAAACAGAGCAGTTATTTATTGCCCACACTCCCTTTGGCCTCCTGTAGGAAACATCTCCAAAACTGTGTGACATCCTCCAGGCCCGCCTGAAGGCTCATCGCGGCGGCCAGCCCTCCGGCCGGCCCTCGTCTCGAGCCCTCCACCTGGACCCGGAGTTTGTCAACACGCCCGGCAGCGGCGTGGCCAATCAGACGCTGGAGCAGAGCCTGGAGAACTTCCTGGACCGAGAGGACAAGTCGGACAACGAGGCCGGACTGACGCTCACGCCCAGGCGCCTCCACAGCGAGGTAACCACCCCCCCCACACACACACACACACACACACACACACAGCGCTGACCCGGCTTCAGTTAACTGCAGACATTCACTTTGCCTCCCGTGCAGACTTTAGTCCCGGCCGGATACCTGATCCCCATCTCCCAGCAGTCCCTCATCAGCTACAACGCAGCCATTCAAGACTCGGGGAGAGAAAGCAGCAAGGCCTCAACGCCGACTCACAACATCTACCAAACACCCACCGCAGGTAGAGACATCATCAAATGTCCATCCGTCACAGTGGGGAGACAAAGGAGAAAAGAAATTGAAATAATTGCCATAAAATAAATGGCTATTCATCCCTTTACTTTTGGAGGCTTGTTACTTTCATGAGCCGTGTGCTTCGTATTGATTTTTTTCTCTTCGCTGAGAAAGATTAGAATTGTCTCGCTGATAACTAGAAGGTGAGGCAGACTGGATCATGTGAGACTAAACACGTGTTTTTATTATTTTGTCCTCGCCAGGCTCCAGACCGGCCTTGGCCCAGGAGGTCACGCCCATCAGCCTTCGTTTCCACAAGCCCGCCTCCTCCTCCTCCTCGCCGCACGCCATCCAGCAGCCCCACCGCCTCCACAGCCCCAGTCCCGCCATCCTCAACTTCACCCTGCAGAACCTGGGCCTGATCTCCAGCTCCAGCCCGGTCTCCGCCTTCCCCGCCCCCCAGACTCCGGACTGCGCCCCGCTCGGCTCGCTGGCTCTGCAGCAGAGAGGCATGGTGTTCATCAAACCCGTGTCCCCGGTGCCCGTCCAGCAGTCTGTCCCAGGGACACCGATGGCCCTGTTCAGTGTGCAGCAGGTAGAGAACACACAGTGTGGAGACGTGCAGATCATTTGTGGATTCTACTTTGCTTTCTTCTTAAGAAGTGTACATTCTGACAAGTTGCCTTTCTGTCATTGTGGAAATGCAACAGTGTATTTTCATGATAAAATACTGGCTGTTAAATAAATAGAAACAGCTGACCAGTGGACGATCGACGTCTCTGCCGTCCACCTGTAAAGCACAAACCATTGATGCCACTCGAGTCATAGTGATGCTACATGGGACTTTTGTAATTTAAAGGTATCTTGTATCCCTCCCTTATGTGCCACCACGTAAGTGCAATACTAATGTGAAGGAGGCTCCTTTCTGTTTGACGGCAATATCAACAATAACCCTGTCAGATTGATTGGAATACAGTTTAAATATTTCCCCAAAATACGTTTTGAAACAAGTTCTGGTTTGTATAGTGCAAAGATAAATTTCACTATTTGAGGCACCGCAGAAGATTATAACTTTAGCTAATCCTCATCTGTAGCCCCTCGACGGGTCATAACAAGGATAACACAATAACAAACCGTGCAGGGTGAAGGACATAATACACAAATGTAAGTGCTGCATAGAACAATGCACAGCTACACAATAGCACATCACCGATGCACGTTTGACCTTTAAAAGTTAAAAGTCCCCCCCTGGTCCGAGTTCAGTCACGCACAAAGTTTCCACTTTCATTCTCTGTTTGGATCTGCGTCAGGAAACTTTAAAACCTGCCGATTTTCCTTCAATCTGCTTTGAACTTTAACCTTTTTTAAAGACTAACTGAAGGTTGTCTGTCGTCCAGCCCCTGATGACCACCCCCAAAGGGACGGCGCTCCCCCAGCAAAGCTTCTTCCACACGCCGGTCCCCGTCTCCCCCCTGGCCGCCATGGTAACCGCCGGTGGACACCTGGCCGCCAAAACCGTTTACATCCCTCAGAGGAAGCTGGACGTCGCCACCGAGGACTCGTGAGAGCGACCCCTCCCCCCCAGCCCCCGACGCCTGTGTGCGTCTTAAATTTGATGTCATGTCTGCTCGAGCATTTGACAGTATTCATTCAGTCTGAACATTTCAGCCGGCTTTGCCCGTAGCTGCCGTGCAGACTTTGGCCCCGTTGGTCGGCTCATTGTGACGCCGGTAGAAACGACTAACATTTACACTGAACTTGTGTTTCTTGTTCATCTTTTGTTTTTGTTTTCTTCTCTATTTTAGTTAATTCTTTTATGGTGGGTGATGTGAATTTTTATTTTTATTTTTTATTACCACGTTAAAGAATCAGTGCTATAAAGGGCAGAACACTTGGTGACATGGATGTTGTTTGATCGGGCAAATTGTTGACTGATGATTTTGTCTTAAACCTAATGAGAAGACTTTTGCACAAATGTACACATTAACTGTCCGCTCTGTTACAAATTAATTTTGTTAATGTGTGTGCTTATCAATTAATCAAATATGTTTAATTTATAAGGAAATCACCTTTTATGTTTTGATGTCCTGCTAAATGTAAAATGCTAATTGACTTTTAATACATTTTTTCTATGAACACGTTGTGGTGTTGGTCTGTTTTCGTTTACGTCTCGACGGAAAAAGACACAAAAGAATTCTGTTTAGCACTTTTATTATCAATCCTTTACTGTATAAAAATGCTCTTCAATTTGTTTGTTTAAAGAAACCAACAGTTGATCAAATAATTGATCAGTAGCAATAAACCTCATATTGAAAACTGCTTTTTGATAACTAGTTGCTAAGATTCATTTAAATGGTGATAAAATCAACATTTTGTTCTCAACTCCAAGCAGCAGCAGCACATAAAATAAGTCCTTGTAGGTTTTAAAGGGGTTTTGAGGATTGTTTCTTTTACTAATCTCAAAAACATTGTTTTGGTCTTTCACGGATGTGTTGACTGCTTTTCTTTCATACATTCGCAAAGCAATTTTTCTGGCACTTTTAAGGTCCCATATTGATAAAAAGTGTGATTTAAACGGCGTGAAAGTATCAACACGCTCAGTCCTGCAGCTGTCTGTTCTTTAAACAAGTCGTCCGGATAAAAACTATCGAATATTATTGCACCGTTTCACTGTTTTGAACATATTGTGTCTAGATTTAAAAAAAAAATGTATATATATATTGAAAGTTGAAAATCAAAATTCTATTCCAGTAGAAACTCAGAAATGAGCACAACGTGTCTCCTTAGGAACAGAAACATTGATTAAACGCCTGCTGACTTCAGAGGGTTAATGTGTCAGTGTCATTCACGCTCACCAGTTATTCATGGAGCCACTAGATCGATGGAAGAATGTGAAACGTCTCCTCAACCAGAAGTAAAAAAATCAACAAGGAACTTTCGAGGAGATGTCAAAGAAATGAGGCTCACGCTGTTCAGACAGGACCGATAAAGACAGTCCGTGTGGTATCAGATCGTTGTTATTGTCTCTGTGTCTCTGCAGCTGGTTGGATGATAAAATATTTCTCTTCAAGCCTTGAACTTGGAATCCACTTTAAAATTACAACAAAGACGCAAGTGTTAGTCGGCTGATAATCAAATTCATTCCTTCTATTGGAACCACTTAAATAACCTGAGATGTTTGTGGTGATTTGAGAGGTCTGCAATTAGCTGTTTTTCAAATTTAACATATATACTATATGATCTGAATATGGTATGAAACGTCTTAAAATTGCCACCTTAGAGATAACAGGTTCTCAATCGTTTTTCTGTGGACCGTCTGTATTACAATGCATTAGTTAGAATTAACAGAATCCACATCGACCTCTCAGACAAGTAGGAGGCGACGACCATTATGGAAGCGTCCTGCCTTCCCTGTACTGACCAGCAGGGGGCGCCTCCTCTGGTTGCAAAATAGAAGTCAGATTGAAGTCTATGAGAAGACGGCTGCTTCTCACTTTATTACTTCAGTAAACGTTGTCAACTTCAAGTCTTCGAGTCACAATATGATGATAATTTCAGAGAAAAATAGACCTTAAAGCACAGGAGGCTCTTGGGCTGGCTTGACCTGTGATTGACAGGTTGTGGCCTTCAAAAACACAACATGGCGGCCACGAAAATGCCGGCAGTCCCCTAACCGATGGGTGACGTCTCCATGAATACCTCCGTTACTTACACAGTCCACGATCAGAACGACACAAACACTCAGGCTCCCTCCTGGGGCTCAAAAGGTGCATGCGAATGCTAAAAGACTTATAAAATATCCCTTGACCCGGGAACGATTTAGGTGACGGCTTCTCCTCTCTGGTCCCCTCCCGCTACCATCTGACCTCGTGAGCATCACTGAGTCCCTCCGGCTCACGTTCAGACGTGCAGCGGCAGGTTCATCATTTACGTCCTTGATCCTCGCACATTCCGTGTGGACGGTTCAGCTGTCGCTCAGCTTCGTTTGGAGATTCCATGTGTCCGGAACAAATGTTTGCTATCGGCCCGCGATGAAGGGTCAGAGGGGTCTACTCGGTCACGGGTTATTTTTAGGAGCATGTTTTCATAGAGGCGGCCTGCGGGGAGATGGTCGGTATTAAAGCCGACCGGAGGGGAACCGGAGCACACAGGCTCGGATTCAAGGTAAGGACTCATTTCTGTTTGTTGGTTGAAAAGTTTCTCACAGCACAGGAGATGTGGTGGATGTAGGATGACTTATTTTAGTTTAATAGGTGGAATTAATTTGACTTAACCTGATTTTTTGGGTCTTTTTTTTTACTTGAGCCTCAATGTCACGGGAGTCAGTTCCGTGTGAGATGTCTGATTTGTCTCGAATCAGACATTTGCTGTGGTATTGTTTGGCCCGTCTGAGGTCTCAGTAGAGCCTCGGCTCCTAGAATACGACATGCCAGAGCCGTGAGGTGATGAGCAGCCGCTGACATGAGCCAGAACTGGAATGTCAGACAACAGGCCGACAGCATTCAAATCTAATGAGACGAGAACCAACAAAAGCAGATTCCTTCATTCCTATTTCCATTGCTAAAATAACTAGTAATAATAACAATATATGAGATTATGAAATTAGATAAAAATCTGCCAGTCGAGCCCTCGCACATAAACGCACGTCGAGGGTCCTTGTCAGACTCTAGTTGATGCATTTCGGCGACCATCAGCAAAGAAGCCTCATTTTGTCAGGTATTAAACATTTGAGTGTTTAGTTTTAATGTTGGGTGATGATTGATTTGATTTACCACATTCAATTACTTTTAGAAAAAAAAAGTTAAAAATGTATTTTTTTTTTATTTAGTTGTTTTTTTATAAATATTTAGGTTGAAAAGTATTTTAAAAATAAAAAAAAATGTCACAGCAAAGAAAATTGAAAAAGCTCGAAGAATAAAAAGGGTCAAAATATGTTTGCTGAAATAATGTCATGAAAAAAAAATCAGATTGTAAACTTTTCTGAAAAAGGTCTAAATGTGTGAGGTCAAAAAATTAATAAAATATTAGGTCAAAAACTGTTGAAAAAAGTAGAAATATAAAAGTATGTCAGCTGTCTGACTTTTTTTCTGGATTTTTTTTGTCCGTGAAAGATGCCGAACTGGGGGGGAGGCGCCCGCTGTGCGGCCTGCGAGAAGACGGTGTACCACGCAGAGGAGGTCCAGTGTAACGGGAGGAGCTTCCACAAGACCTGCTTCCTCTGCAGTGAGCACACCGGGTCCTCCCTCTCGTTACAGGGACACAGGGGGGTCATGGTGGACCAGCAGAGAGTCTCATTCGCTCCCACCGGCTGTCTTGTTCACACCTTTGGGTGCCGTGCTGAACTGACAGAGGAGAATACATTCTTTTGTAGTCACAAGTCCAGTTTGGGGTTTTATTTAAATCCCCTCTCTTTTTTTCTCCCTGTAACGACGTGTTCCGGTAGCTCAATGGCTGCTAAGGGGTCTTGGTCTTCTCTGGACCGCTACCCGCCACTGTTGACAGATGAACTCAGCTATGTGGGAGCTTCCTTTGACCTCCGTTGCTCCACCCCCCCCCCCACCCCCGTCGGAGTAATACTGAACCAATTTCAATCAGCCAGCAGCTGGTTTAAGTATCTGCTGCTTCTGTCCCGCAGTGAGCTGCAGGAAGGCGCTGGACAGCACCACCGTGGCGGCGCACGAGTCTGAGATCCACTGCAAGTCCTGCTACGGCAAGAAATACGGGCCAAAGGGCTACGGATACGGGCAAGGAGCCGGAGCGCTGAGCTCTGACCCTCCTAACCACGAGGGCCCGCAGCATCACGAGTACGTGGCCGCGCTGGGCTGCGATTAAAGGGTCGTTGCACCTCAATCCCATGATGAACATATGAACAACACATGTTACAGCCATGATGGTAGTGTGTGATCACAGGCTTTAGGTGTCCACGTTTAGATTTTGCGTTCACACGCTTTCTACAGTCTGATAGTTGATTTCCAAACACAGCTGCAGAAATGTATAACTTGAGAAATGTTGCTTACCTCCTACATTAACACGAAACACACACACACACACACACCAAGGTGTAAATATAGCTCTGGGTCCCCTGACGTATTACCGCCGTTTCAGAAGGAATTCCACTATGAATTTCTTTTCTTTTACTTCGTTTGGCGTGCGTTACTTTCTTCTATCTTCTCTGGTTGTCAGACGTTTGACGTCCACCCGCTTTGTTTTTCTAGCTCTAAACCACGACCACCAAACTCTAACGAAAATAAATCTTCCCTGAAGTTTGGGTGTTCGGACCGCTGCCCTCGCTGCTCCAAAGCCGTCTACGCAGCTGAGAAGGTGATGGGAGCGGGCAAGGTAAGAAACACTGGGCCTGAAGCTAAACAACGCAGCAACACGCTGAACGCTTTGAGGAACTCTGGTTCTACAGGCAGGAGGAGAGAAAGGCCTCAGATAGTCCAACATTCTGGTAGAGGAGCAGATTAATGCGATATTCATACAAAAACAACAACAGAATTCGGGTCCCCAGAATGTTCATAAGACAAACCTGCCGTACAAACATTCAAGGGCCGAAGAGCATAAATCCTTCTGACCTTCTGACCTTTCCGGTAAATGTATGGTCACATGACGTCTCACGTTGACTTCGATTGAAACCCGAACAAAGGACAAATTCAAAACGGGAATATCCGGCCTCGCCGTGATCCCTGGACGGCTTCCGGCTGATTTACAGGTCAAAGTTCATCAGCTAAGTGGATATCCCAAAAAATCTTTTGTTTATTCTATTTAATTTGATATGGACACCACAGTGGATTTATAATTATAAAACCTATTCATACCCAAAGACCAGACGCACTAGACTAAAGCTTATTTATTATATTGTTAATATATCTTAATAATTGTTTATAGCCCTGGCACAAAACCTGCTTCCGCTGCGCGCTGTGTGGTAAAAGCCTGGAGTCGACCACAGTGACAGACAAGGATGGAGAGCTGTACTGTAAAGGTACACACACACACACACACACACACACACACACACACACACACACACAGGCTCAAGTGCCTTTGGCCACATTTTGGTTATAAAAATAGAAATACAGCACACAATAAAATCGCAGTTCATTTTCACCTCAGCCACTTTTGTTTCTTTGCAGTTTGCTACGCCAAAAACTTCGGGCCAAAAGGATTTGGACTGGGGAACGAAGCCATGTTGGAGTAACAAGAAGTCACACCTTTCACCTTTATACCGGATGGTGTTTGTAATAAATGAAAGTGTCCAGAAGTGGAAAAACAAAGGGTAGAAAATGGTACAAAATAAAACTATGTTGGTACATGAATTCAATGAATAATTGAATGCAGTTCATTCATGAAAAATGATTGTATTCAATAATAAAGCTAAAGAGGAAACTTGCTAGCAAAGACTTTAGTAATTAATAGTTTTGATGAGAACTTTACCAACCCTGCTTATGAATAGATGCATCCATTTCTTTCCTCCAGCTGTGAGAAGATAATGACCATGTTCAAGTAATATAGTCTTATTTGCATTCAGAAATATTGTTGTGCAACAAAGAGTAATCAACAAGTGATTAATGAGTTTATTTGTCATTGTGAGAGGCGCCGAGCAGAGATCCAGTTCGGTGTTTTTTCCATTCACATCGCTCATGACGTCCACCTGAATTGTCCGGTTGCGAAAGCTCGCACATGATCGCTGAATAATGCACGCCCCGTGACTCTCTCTCAACCAATCAGAACGCTGGATTTCCCCTTCCTTTCCTTTAAAGGAGACACCCTCCTCGCCAATTAGGTGGTCATTTTAGCTTCAGCAGAATGAGATTTATTTAGCCAATAACTTTTTTTTAAACTCTTTTTTTCACTTCAGAGTATGATATAACATTGTCCTTTTGCTTAATTCTTTTAAAGAAAATCTAGTTTTAAAGATTCATTGATTACATCAATTATCAGACAAAATGTAGATAGAGATTAGATCACAACAGATTCCTTTAATCTTACCCAGTCAGTTTTTTTTCAGTCAGGCCTCTACGTTATATTGGGATGGGAGGGGGAGGGGCTCTGGTCCGTCCGTCTGTCCGTCCATCTGTCCGTCAACTCCCCAAAAATGAGCGTCACCACAACAATACATATTGATTGACATAGTTTGAAGTCCAGAGAAAACCAAAGCCAGTTAAAAGAAAGAACAAGCCCAACGTCACTTTATTGAAGTCCTACAGTGGTCATTCATTTTTAAAAACATGCAACTCTTACAAAAGTCATAAAAACAACTTTTACATTTTAAAGTACAAAGATTCCCCCAAACAAATAATTAAAAATAGGCTTGACGTGTTCATCTCAAAACTTCAATTACGATTTAGGCCATTAGAGGTTTAGTAACCTCGGCCAGAGTAAAACCGTTGTGATTTTCCTTCCACTGGTCGGGTATAAGGCAGCATTCTGTACAAAGAGCAACTGAATGGAATGATACACAATGCTTTGTGTCCCCCCCTCTCCTCCCCCAATGCAGAGTAGCGTGGTCTCTCTTCACAAGGAGCAAAAACAGCTAGAAAAATAAATAAATGCACTTTGTGCTTTTGGTCCAGAACCACTGCGAGAGTCTGACCTTTGACCCTGAGCGAGGGGCGGCGCAGAGGTCACACCATGTCGGTGTGTCCAAACGCGTGAAGGTCGCGGCCGGGCGGAAACTGCTGCGTCCAGTCGATGACGGCCGGCTTGAAGAGGCCACAACAACGCAGGTGGAAGAAGGTCAGCAGGTTCCTCACGACGCCCATACTGCAGGGACAGGAGACGGCAGGGGTCAGAGGTCAGAGTCAAGTGGTGAACGTACTTCCATTCACCTGCCTTCATTTGGGATATATGGTGGACCAGGAGCCACTTTTACTATTGTTCACATGAGCAGGAATTACATTTTTTTTTTGTTTTGCCTCAACCGTCACTTTTTATGCTGTAATTATTGCTGAATGACTTACTTTAAAAAATAACACTGCAGAGCTGCAGATTTGATCACCAAATGTATCAATTGTGAAAATCATATGATAGCTACTCAATTTCTTTGGTCAACAGCAGCTCTAAGCACAAATATTTGAGTGTTTTTAAAATGTAGACAACATATATATAAAGAGATAAATGGAAATACAACCAGAGCTTTACTGCGTTTCCACTCTAAAATGTGTACAATTTATAACATTATTATATAATATTTGAAAGTAGTGACCTCAACAACTCACTTGTATGGATTCTGCCGGAGGGAGACGGACTGTCGGTGCTTCCTCTGGTTGAACATCAGGTTCGTCCGCTCCACCGTAGTCAGTCCCAGGAAGGCAATCTGCTCAAAGGACCAACAGCAGTCAGTTCACGCGTGTGTGTGTGAGATCACAGATCGGATTAATGCCCACCGGCCAACACGTCAACGCCTCTTTGGTCTGATCACAGTCAATAAGTTGGTATATTTCCAGGATTTGATACTTAGGGAGATGAAGAGACAGTTGTCAACACAAAAACAAGAAACAATAGCAAATGCTGACTGCAAAAAAGTGCCCCATGTAAATGCTATATATACCCATACATAATTATCATTGGATTGCATCATAAAAAGGACATTAAAGAACTTAAAATAACTTTCAAAAACTACAAATTTCATGAACTACGTTAAAAAGAGCTGCATCAAGCTCCTCGGTCACCTGGTAGAGCTGCATCACCAGCATCAAGCCGGACCAGCAGGTGTGATAGACGGCCAGCAGGAAGACGGCGAGCAGCCAGGGGGAGCAGCTGACCAGGGCGGAGACCACGCCCCACACGCCCTGCTCCTCGTAGCGCAGCGAGCAGCGAGCGGTCCAGTCTGAGGAGACGGCACACGGAACACACGGCACAGTTAATCGTCTCCGGTGGCACCGCGGCGGTCAGAAGCCGCCGTCACGCCGCACGCAGAGTCGCTCACGTGTGAGGCAGCCGTAGAACATCCAGGCTCCCATCAGCACCAGGGAGAGCAGGAAGAGGATGAAGTAGTGATGGTTCCTCGCGCCTGGGAAGACATGTGATACAAAGAGTGTGTTCAGCCTGAAGACCCAAACGTGTGTGGACCTCTGAACTAGAACAACATGTCAGAGGGAAGTCCAACGCACCTGCAACATTTGCACCACTTGATGGTTATTGAGTTACTGTACTAAATTAGTTTAGTACAGCTTTGTTGTAGCACAGATCTGTTGGACTTCCCACAGTTTTATGCACGACATGCCGGTCATTTTCTTATGGTTCATGTGTCGTTTCTCCATATTTTATTTTATTTATATAATGTACTAAAGTACTCGCCTTGAAAGAATATATTTCCTTTCAGGTTCCCCAGAAGTTTATAGTCCAAGTTAATTTATTAAGTTAAGTAAAAACAAACAGATAATGTGACCAGATAATGATGAATTCTACAATTGGACCAAGGAACAAGTTATCATCTAGTTACTTAAATGAATCAGTTAATGTCTGACGTGCTCACGAACTGGAAACGGCGCAGCGGTCTGCTCCGGTTGGCTACAGTCTGTCGTACCGATGCAGCCGTTGGTCCAGACGGAGTGGTGGTCCTGCTTCGCCACGCAGGCGTCACAGTGGAAGCAGTGGTTGGTCCTCATTGGTTTCTTTATCTGCGCAGAAGGAAAGGGAAGACCGAACAGGCCGTCACCGTTTGTGTCAGTGCAACGGTGTGGTGGAAAGGGAATGTTTCGTTTTTTCAGGGACCCACCATGCAAGAAGTGCAGAATATTCTGGGGTCCAGACAGCCGGCTTCCGCCAACACCAACACATTCTGAGAACACAACCACACCTCAGCTCATCTGTCCCAAAACATTCACGCGTCATATCTCTGTGTCAAACTTTGAGTGCTGCCACCCACCATTTTCTTCTCTTCCTCGGTTGCCTTGACGAAGCCGGGGTCGGCCCTGCAGGTGCGGAGGTAATAGTAGAGCAGAGCAGCGGCATTCAGAGCAAACAAGACCTGAACTGTGGTGCAGTGCCCATGTGGGGGAGGGTCAAAGGTCAAGGAACGCTTCAATTCATCAGCTTGATTAAAAAAGGATAAAGCATCGAACGTTGCTCTTAATCAAAAGGAAAACAGCGCTGTAGTTTACACGCAGACGGTCACTTTAACTCACTAATTCACGATTGATCCCAACAAGCCTTCTCCCCAAATCAGTAAACGCCCCCGAGCATGCTGCAGGTGTGTTACTACTTTAAAAGGATATCTGGCAGGAACCAGAGGAACCAGGTGACGAGCATCCAGAACACCGAGGCCATGAGAGACGTGGCCGGTAGGAGGGTCTGGAAGGCCGGACTCGAGAAGTTCCTGTCCGGACACAAAGCTTTCTCATGAGAAAACGAATATGTCCACACGGCGGTTTTCCATTTAACTCTCGCCACACGTGTCCTCACCTGGACAGAAGGTTGACCACACCCATCATGCACGCCAGCAGGATCCCTTTGAGCAGCCACGACTCAGAGTTCAACTCCACTATGGCGCCAACGCATCCGTACACGCCAGTGCAGAGCAACAACTGCAGGAAGAACTGCAGGGAAAGAGCGAAGCGGTTCGGGTTATTCGGACGCTCTGAGAAGGCGGGTGCCTGCAGACTTTGGTTCGCGGATTACCCGGTTACTGTTGATGAACCGCAGGCAGCGCGAGTTGGAGCGAGTCCGCTCCTGTTTGATGTGGGTGAGCATGTGGATGAGCAGCGGGCTGTGCACCTGGCGGGCCAAGTCGATGGGCGTGTGACCCTGAGGAAGGAGCAGCAAACACGCAATGAACATACGCAGCATCGCATTCCGATTGTAAGGTGGTTGTGGCCGTGCTGCTTTTTGCATGGACCGAACCCAAGTGGTCTCTTGTTTGCCTCCAACGGCCGTTTCAAGTTCCCACGTCACTCCCAATTTAGTTTATTCTGATTCCGGTCACTGCAGAGTGTGCGTAGGAAGCGGACGTAGTCACAGCGTCACGCATTTGGTCAGCATCCAGTGCAGAAAATTATCATTTTTGGACTGTGGGTGGGCGACGTAGTGATACCGCACACGGCTCTGGCAGCTGTGGCAACCTGTCAATCACGAGGTAGCCCCGCCCTAAAACACACTAAAGCTTTGTTTCATTTTACTCAAAATGGGACGATAGCTTTCAAAATGAGTATCGCGCAGCTCAAAAGACGGAGCAAAGAACATCAAAAAGTCAAGGTCACCATCTTAACTAAGTAATACATGAAGTGACAAGAGGGGTCATTTTTTTCTCAGAGAATTCTAATCAATCAGACATCTTTTTGCAATCAGGAGTCTCCTCCTGCCGGCCAATGGAGAGAATGCACGTTTGAAAATCACTCAAGACACGTGTTCAATTTTCAGAACCGAAAGTTGCCGCAGGAGTGAAAGCTG